GGTCTCCATTCTCATGGGAGCTGGTGGCAGTTGCCAGAAACGTGGTCACTGCTCACTGAGCTCCTGCTAGTCCGGCTGTCACCAAGGCAGCAAGGATTTCACATCCTATTTCACTGCTTAAATTTCAGCCCCTTCCTTGCCCTTGACTGAACACCAATAAAAAAGAAAGCCCAAGAAATGAACAAAACCTGGAATGATGTTTCTTTCAGGCGCATTGACCAGGTGTCAGTTCTCTCTGCTCTCCCTGACCCACATCTTGCAGAACCACCTTGGACCAAGACAGACCCCTGTGCCCACATCCCTGCTCTCTAAGCACTCGCCCAAGAACAATTGTAAGACATTTCGGGTCTTGCTCCAGACCAGGCTGTTGACATAACCAGCATGTCTGTTTTTTTGACTTCCCAGCATTAACCCAGCTCCTTCAACGAATGACACTGGTGGGACCTGCTGTCTGAGGGCACCGATGGGTGTCGTTCAAACTCATTGACCAGGGCAGCTGTATCTGAAAGAGGGGTAGTGTTCTCAAAACCATTGCGTTCTTGCAAAATGTAATGGAGGTGGTCAGAGAGAAGACAGATTCTCCCAGGATCACCCCAAGGGTGCTGAGCTGGGGGGGCTCAGCCTTCATCAGGCAACAGGAAACCCCACAGCGTATCCCGGAGCTCAACCCAGAACAAAACCCATCAGCAACCTTCTCCATCTGTGCTGCTGGGTTATTGACCCAAAGGTTGTGGTGCCGATTCCCTCCAGGATACACTGTGGGTTTTTCCCCCCTTCTCTGCTCCAGTCTGTGGTGGGATGGGGGTGCTGCCCCCCCTGCTTGGCTCTGGCATCCCCCCAATGCTCTGCAGAGCCCTGGGGACACCCCCCATGCCCCAGATGGCACAGGGAGATGTGGCGCTTGGGTTTTCCCAACTCCGGTTTGCTGCCAAGGCTGCAGGTAGAGACAGGAGTTGGAATGCACTGCTGTTGTCAGGTGAAATGAAAACAGCTTTAAAAAACTTAGAAAAATACGTGCTCTGGGCAAACCCAGAGTGGGGTTCAGAGACGTGAGGGAGCCTTCATCCCACAGCCGTGGCTGGGATGATGCTGACGGGCAGCGAAACGTGAGGCTGCCCTGAGCACAACCAAAGGCTATTTAAAAGTGAATATAAACCAACACTCCAGTAACAAGGTGACAAAATTTATGATAATTAAACTGTCTCTGTGTAGCTGTAAAACTGGTGGCTGTTGCACATCAAGTTAGCTACGATCCAAGCCAGGGATGTGAATTCTAATGAAGGGAAGCCTCTTGCCTTGCTGAGGGGGGATGAAAAGCTCCCACAGAGCAAAGAAAAGGTGCTGGCAAAGCTGATATTTATTGTATCGGTGTTTTAACAAGGCCAAGAAGAAGATGGGTGGTTGTTGGCCGCTTGAGGAAAATCTTTCTGCATGAATTGGATAGCTGGTTCTGAATTAATTTTGAATAGTTGTTTCAGTAATTCAGATTGATTTAAGATGCACCCAAGAATAATGCTTTCATTATAAAACCTCCTGAGCAAAATTTAAATCGTGTTAAATTAAAAACAGCCTCTGTTAAAACAGGGCTGATGAGCACAGCAGAGGGATCAGAGATGCAGGGTCAGTATAATTGAATTCCTTTGCTTTGTTTCCCATTCCAGAAGAACCGTGGTACCTGTCTCCCCGGGTTGTAACTTCCTACAGAGCTTGCAAGTTGTCTTGGATTTCTCTAAACTGATTTGCAGAGTAACCCCACCAAAAGCAGCACTTACTCTGTTCTGTAGAGTATTTACCCTCAAGAAGAAATGCATTTTTATTGCTTTTCATTTATGGGTCAATTTGGTCCAAAAGATACTGGGGAATCTGGAATAAGAGCAGTGGATGCACAGAGCAGCAGGAGAGTTACTGGTCTTACTGCTAATCTTGTTTGTGTGCTGTAGCTAAACTTCTCCTTTTATATAAATGGAGCTACTTTTTTAATGTCTTAATAAGATGGGAAAAGTTATCCTGCATGTTCCAAATCCTTTTGATAAAGCACCGTGTCACAAGCAACGGTGGAATCCCAGGGTCAGGGAAACATTCACTTTTTAGTTTTAGTGATTTATAGGTTTCAGTTACATGTTTATATCTTTCAAAACCAAAAATACATACATATGCGTATAGACCTAAGTTAAAAGCCATTGTGCTTTACAGTTTCTTGTTTTAAATGCTGGGTGAATTTTTAAAGTCAAATGGCAGAAAATGATTAAGATACTCCTGAAAGCTCTGAGCGTTGCCAACACGCAAAGAGCAAACTGGCAAAGAGGGACGAGGCAAAGCCCAAGGTTTTAAGGAGCGCGGTAGAGACTTGGGCTGCGTTTTTGGCAACGGCGGTGGGATAGGGGTTGCCAGGACTGTCATTAGGAACAAGACCCTTCCAAACCTACTGAAATGATTTCTGAAGAGAGCTGTACAGAAAATACTGTATGGAAATGCCAGTTTGTCAAAACTGAGAGGATTTATGGGGAAATGAAGGCAGCCTGGGGATGTTATGCATTTGATGGGAATCAGGAAGGTGGAAATGACCTGAGGCCCATAGCTTTGTTTCTGGAGGTGATGAGTTCTTGTTGCCACGATGCCGGTGGTGGTGAGAGCTGTTGCAGGAGCCTCTGGCACCTTCCTCCCCCAGAGCAGGGACCCCCATGTCCTGGCCATCCCCCAGTGCCTCCTTGAGGGCTCTGGCCAGGCCCCGAGGAGCTGCTCTGGCAGGAATTAGGTTTTTATGGCTCACAGTAACAACTTCTCTCCCTAGCACTGGTTTTGGGGAAGCCCGTGGAGTGCGTTTGGATGGTGCTCGGAGAAGGGAGCGCTGGGTACCGGGGGGCAGTGGGGGGCTGTGAGGGCACAGGGACTTTTGGGGGCTGCTCTTACCGAGGTTTCCGAGTTTCTTGTTAAGTCTGTGATATGACACCAAACTTGGCTGATAGACTATTTGCTAGAGACACCTACTTTAATTAAAATCCTGCAAGAAAAACCCCAAATTGGTATTGCTAGAAGTTTAAGCTTTAAGGCTTTGGCAGCATTTTATAGGTCTCTTTCCAATGGGCTCTTACAAAGCCGTGCTTAACTGTATAATTTTTAAAATTCTTGTCAACTCATTAAAGGCACTCATTCGTCCATAATTTCTGTGATTACAACAGATTGAGAGCACTTTAAAGTCCTCAGGAGCACTCTGGTGTGTCTATCCACGCGTTCAGCAGGAGAACAGGACCGAGCTGGTGAGGGGAACAGGGACGTGTGGCACGGTGGCACGTCCTGCCTGGGTTCACAGGAAGGGTTTGTTCCTGAGCCACACCAAACATTCCCTTGACCCCAACTTCCCCGTCATCAAGGTCCAACAACGTACGTGTGAAGGTGCGTGAGCGTGTGGAGGTAGAAAGAGAGTCGTGATCATTGTGAAACAGAAAACAGAGCTGCCTTTTCCTGCGTTTCCCCCTCTGAACTGCCCGGGACAGGTCTCCCTTGTCCTCTGGAGCTTCTCAGATGCAATGATGGGGACAGGAGGGTGGGAACCGACCAGTATGGACCAGTCAGAATATTGAAAGCTGACCCACAGGGTGGGAGAGCGCTGGGATCTAAAGCCCACCTTTGATTTCTAAGCCAGCCCTGACTTCTTTTCCAGGGTAAGGACCTTAGCTTCTGCCATAGGAACCTGCAGACTGTGCTTAGATGTTAAAAAGGAAGAAAAAGAGATCTCTTGGTGACTATGACAAACATGTTCTATATTCTCACTTAATGAAGAAATTCAGACTTGCAGTTGTCATATGCTCAGATTTTGCGGCTTTCTGACAGCTGAATTATGATTTTAATAATTTAAATGTGCTACTGTGAGCCTGTTCGTGTCTAATAGGCACAGAGAAGTGTTTAAAATCAAAAGCGGTTTAGAGAAAAAGTGGTCACCATATTACAAGAATGAGAATTGTCTATATCTGAATATTAAACTGGGAGAACTCTCTGGTGAGAAAACTCTTTTCAAAGTAACTATAAACATGGTATATTCTATAATTATATAACTATAAACTTGGTTCTGATTTGTGGAAGCCAGAGACTGGTTCCATCATAACTTTGGGACTGCCTGAAGCTGCAGCCTGTGATTCCCACTTTTACATAACCCCGTCAGGGTGAGGGTTTGGTCATTCTGCTTACAAAGGTTTTAGTTCAGAGCAACAGAAGCTCAAATCTATAATCTCAGTAGAAACATCTGTAAGACAGAAACGAAATATAAGGGAAAAAATTGCCCTCCAGGCTACATTCCCCTTGCTTTGATATCATTAGCTTTGTACCTGTCCACGGGAACGTTTGAAATTCTACTGCAGCTGCTACAGGATACTCGTGTTATTTTTTAAGTTCACAACTAAACACAGACAAGAAGCCCACATCCTGCTCAACTAAGTAAAAACCAGATCATGTCCTGGAGATCACCGAGTATTTTCCATAAAGTAGCCCGCAATACCATTTGAATTCAGCAAATCCACAGCTCCTGGCACATCAAGTGAGGAAACAACGACCGACATCGCGAAGAGAGACATCATATACATCATATGCACCTTGTACATCATATACACCTTGTACATCATGTACATCAACAACTTTGTGTAGCATCTGTGGTTTGAATGAATGTCTGAAAAACACCATAAGCTCTGCCTGCCAGCTGCCTTGCACCCGGGATAACTTTCCCCTCCTGCAGAAGGAGCGCGGATCAGGCCCCGCTACTCCCCAGCCTTGCTCCTCCTGCACTCATTTGCCGTTGTGCCAAGCGTTTCTCAAGTGGGTGTAAGTGCTGTTTCATACAACTTCACATGAGCAGAAACTGCAGAAGTTGTACGGCAAAGAACAATCAAGCCCTGAACAGTTCCAGCCCCTTTTCGAACATGCACCCAGGAAAACGCTTAGGAGTAACTGAAGTCAAGCTCCCAGCACACGCTCGCCTGCTGCTCAGTAAAAGAAAAAGTAATACTCACCCCAGTGTTGTCATGGTTACAATAGTGTACCAAAAGGAAGCAGGAATACTGGTGAATTTGCTTGCCGAGGACCCTTTCTCTGCATAAAACATCACAGTTGCAAAGATGATGATTGCCATAGTGAGGGAAAAGAGGAGAAAGCCAAGCTCGGAGGCACAGCTCTTCAAAGTGTAGCCCAAGATTCTTAAGCCTTGGGAATGGCGAGAGAACTTGAAAATCCTGAAAACCCGAAAAACCCTTAGTGTCACAAAGGCTCCGCTGACATCCTCGTTGTTGGTCATCACCAAGCCAATGTAGTACGGCATGATGGCCACCACATCAATGATGCTCATCACACTTCTAATGAATCGGTAGCGACTTGGGGCTGCAAAGAGTCTCAACAGATACTCAACCGTGAAAATCATCACGCAAGCCGTGTCCAAGCAAAAGAAAGCCACAGCGTATCTTTCCCCACATGGAAGCTCCTTGTTCCCAGGCACCGTGCCACAAGGGACAGTTTCCACCACGTTAGTGATCACAGAGACAGCAATAAAGAAACCAGTGACGTAGTAAAAGACTAAGGCTAAGGTGCTGGTGTGGGGGTTCTCGAAGGCTCGCCACATGGTCTGCCGGAAGCTCAGGGATGGCATGGACCCTTCTTGGTTGTTTTCTGAGTCATTGTCATCCATCAGCCGCTCCACGTTTTCCCGCTTTCTGTCTTTGTACTCTTCGTAGCAGCAGTCCCCGATGATTTCAGGGAGGATCCCATAGAAGGCAAGCTCTTCGTCATAAGCAGAGATGCACTCGTACCTGGGGTAGTGCAGCTTGCCAGTTCTATAAAAATTTAAGATGCATCTAAAGACCTCAGGGTCCCGGTCAAAGAAGTACTCCTTAGTGTCTTCGTTGAAGAAGAACTCCTTCTCAGTGCTGCCCAGGAGAGTGTCCGGGTATCTCTCCAGTGTAGTCCTCCAGGTCTGGAAACGCCTGCCACTCACGTTGAGAATGATCAGCTCATCCTGCCTCTTGTTTTTCTCCGTTGGAGCCAGTGGCATGGGACAGTTGGCCACTGGCATCCATCCTATGGCAGCTGCCCTGGCAAAGGGCAACCACGCCGCTACTCCTGCTGCCATGATGACCCCAGGTCTTGTTACTGGAGAAGACAGTTGGGCCGCTCCTGGGACCTGCTGGAAGTCAGATCAGTTCCATCTAAAATACAGAACAAAATGAAAACACAACACACAGTCAAGCGGGGTATTTTGCCCCGTTGTGTTAAAGATTCAGGTGTCAGTTCGTACCCAAGGATTTCAAACAACTGCCTTGTCCTCGTCTCCCGTTTGAAGAGCGATGTTAAACAAGGCACGTGATAATCAGCTCAGTGGGGTTATGGCATTATTATAGATTGAAATTTTGAATAGCAAATGATTCCTCATTAAAAGCATTTTAAAAGTAGCATAAACACACTAATTTATATTTGCTTCCTTACAAACAAGACTAATCCATAATTCCCCAGGTGGAAGCCTCATGCTCATCAGTTTAACTACAGCTGTCAAGAAAGAGCCGGGAACTCCAGTAAATCAGCTTGCAGTTCACACAGTGAAACGCCATGAAAAGCCACGATTGGACTGAGCTGGGTCTTAAAAAAGTTCCATACATAGTGAATCTTGCACTAAGACTATTTTCAGTTGAAAGAAACAGAAAATCTCAGGGTTTCATTAGTTTTCTTCCACCTTCAGTTAAAGACCTGGCCTCAGAAGCAGTTTTTTGCTGGTCTCTTTCCTTTAGAGATGGGTTTTACTCCTGTGGAATATCACATTCTCCACTGGAGCAGAGGAAAATTCTGACTTTCAGGGAAACATTGCTCAGAAAATCTGAGCAACAGTGAGCTTCTGACTTTCAGGGAAACATTGCTCAGAAAACCTGAGCAACAGTGAGCTTGAATCCCAGCTGACTAATTTATATTTGCTTCCTTACAAACAAGACTAATCCATAATTCCCCAGGTGGAAGCCTCATGCTCATCAGTTTAACTACAGCTGTCAAGAAAGAGCCGGGAACTCCAGTAAATCAGCTTGCAGTTCACACAGTGAAACGCCATGAAAAGCCACGATTGGACTGAGCTGGGTCTTAAAAAAGTTCCATACATAGTGAATCTTGCACTAAGAATATTTTCGGTTGAAAGAAACAGAAAATCTCAGGATTTCATTAGTTTTCTTCCACCTTCAGTTAAAGACCTGGCCTCAGAAGCAGTTTTTTGCTGGTCTCTTTCCTTTGGAGATGGGTTTTACTCCTGTGGAATATCACATTCTCCACTGGAGCAGAGGAAAATTCTGACTTTCAGGGAAACATTGCTCAGAAAATCTGAGCAACAGTGAGCTTGAAAGCTGATGGATAAAGCTACCGACGGAGCACCAGGAACATCAGAACGAGGGAAGCCTCCAAAGCTGGACAACCTTCTTCCAGCAGGAAGATACCTTGATTACTTCTGAGCTAACAGAGGCAGAAGTCCTTCAGCCAAAGAACTGAAGGACTAATAGGTTGAAAGGAAATATGTTCACTGCACTCTTGATCTTTAGATGAAAAATACCCCAAGTTGTCCAGATCCTCAGCCAACATTCTCTTGAAGTTACAGTCGTTACTGTGGTTCTGATCTAGACAAGAATTTTCTCCTTCTTTTTGGTCTTTGGTGAGAGTTCTTACAATATTTAACTTTTGTTTTAACTTGTATTTACTTTCACTTCCCTAATGTTTTTCTAAGTCTACCATAAAATTATCTGGAGAAAGGTGCCATTATCACATAAGATGCATTAGGGGCCCTATCAAAAGTCAATTTATCAATGGAAATTCCATTGATTCTACTGACTCAGGCCCTCAAAGCTTAATTATATCCTCTATATGGTATCCTTCTAGGCAGTTTTACTCTGAAGTTTTTTAATTGTATGAAAGCTGCCATCCCCACCAGTAAGGCTGCAGCATTATTGATTTCAACAGGCCATCAAAATACTGAATAAAAAATGATGGAATCAATCTCTGGTGAAAATGACTGAACTGCTCACAGAAATGCTCTTCCTTTTGAGGCCACATTAACGTTCATCACCTTAATGTGGAGAATCTTTCTGTGCAATTTTACTACCTAAAGGACAATTGGAATCCCTTGTGCAGGCATCTAAATGCTGCTGGAAGAGGGTTTGTAATTAGGAGACATACAATAATCCGTAGTGATGCTTATCCCAAGGAGCCACTTTGCTTATACTGGAGCAAACATCCCGCAATATTTTCCTATGAAGAATTGTTCAATATTACTATGTGCTGTTCTTTTCTCTCCCCTCGAGGAGGGAGTTTATTGTGCTAATAGTGCCAGGCTGAGAGCCCCGGAGAGGGGGCTCCGAGGGCTGTGGGGGCAGGGGGCAGAGCTCAGCACCCAAACCTTCTCTGCAGGACTTTGGCAGCTCCCCCAGCCCAGCTCCCCATTTCTTACACCAGCAGTGGGGGATCTTTGAACTTCTACTGAACGCTGCCTTAGGAACAGGGCTGCAAAAGGGGAGGCAGCAAAATAACAACCATTCCACCCATTAATCACCAAATATATACAGGGAAATAACCAAGAGACCAAGCTAATGCGTCCTGTGCCTGCTGTCCCTGCTGCTAAACGGTCCTCTCTGCTTTTTAATTTCAATTAACGACACCACCCCAGTCATTCTACCAAGACTGATTGGCGACGTAGGGTGACCTGACCAGCTGCAGTACACTGCATCCTCATCTCCCCTGATTTCTCAGGGGAACCTTGGTAAGAAATCTCTCCTGTACTTTTATAACTTTGGTTGTAAATTCCAGGTTACCTACATTAGCTGCTGAGGCACTATAAATACTTGACATATAATTGTTCTAATAAAACACTGGTAACTCGTAAGTGACTTACACATTTTAAAATCAATTTTTAAAGATAAAATGGGTCCTTGCGTGCTGGCAGTAGATGTGGGGAAGCTATAAATATCTTGGCTGTGGAATGGACAGGAGAGAGTTATTCTTCCGTGGAAGTTTGGTTCCCATTTCTCTGTGACCAAGAGATGCTGCTGGTTAAGAAAACTTAGAGCGCACAGCTTAATTTTCAAAGGCGTCCCAGAATACACGAAAAGATAGACTTTTTCAGCTATAAATTGTCTGAGAGGGAGAAAAAAAGTCCCCTATGGCAAAGGTTTTGCTTTTTCCTGTCCATGAACCCTTGGAACTCCACCCTCCCCAAAGGAAGGGACAGAAAACTGGGGAGAGCTAGGGCTGGATTTGTAACTCAGAGCTGCACAAACTGGGCTGAGTGAAAAAAATGTGAAGTAACTAGTTCATCTACAGCATGTGGAAAGAATCCTCTTTTCCTGCATGCCTGGGTGCTGGTAACTGCTAACCCGTCTGTTTAGGCTGGAAAGCAACCGGCCAGGCTCAAAAAATACTGTACAGTAGAGAGAGTCTCTTCAGCTCGCATCACAAACAGACAACTTCAATCCTAACAAGGATATATTTAGCTCTACTCGTATTTCTAAATTTAATCACCGTAATTTCTGCATGTAATTTGAAAGGAACTAGTTAACAAAAGATCGGTACCCCGCTGATGACATTTAGAACCTGGCACACAAAATTAATTTGCCTCCTGATTTTAAAAAGTCAGCACCTATAGAGAAAAGGATCTGCTTTCTTCAGCTAATGACCAGGGCAGTGAAATAGCCCAAGGAAATTTGATAGAAAAGCCCACGGGCTGAGCCCCTGTCCCTCTCCTGTGACTCCCAAGCCCATCTGGGTCCCTCCCTGGCCACCACTGGCTCCCGCAGGTCGCCGGTGCCGCAGCCCCTTCCTGGCACCAGGGTTTCATCCCCGGCTCAAACAGAAGCCCGAGGGGCACAGCCAGGTCAGTGAACCTCTGGAGGAAAACTTTAGAGAATGCAGTTATTTCTATTTGCCCAAGGGTCAAGAAATAAACAAGGAGTTCTTACCAGAGCAGCTCCCACCAGCAATGCCACACTTAATAAATGTCTCTTCGTAGCCTCATGAAAGCAGAAACAAACCAGAAATCTCCCAGTGTCTCCCTTTCTAGAAGCAGACAGGGACGATTTAAAACACGACTGATAAACATACTGCGAGCTCCTTGGTGAGACACTGCTGATGGGAGTGAAGAGCCTGGAGATCCTTCGTTCTCTCCTTTCCTGTCCTTGTTGGGTCAGGCTCAGGCAGCAAAGGCAGCTTTGCTTTCAAGCAGAATATGTCAGCCAAAGCTCCGACAGCCTCTCCCACTCACGTATTCCTTTTCCCTTTGCAATCGCATCGGATAATAAAACTTTCTGCAAAACATTCACTCTCTCACTCCGTTGGAGAGATTTAGGAGCAAAAGCAACAGGCTCAGGATAAATGCATGCAAACTTCTCCCCTCCCTCCCAGTCAGCCCAGAGAGCCCCATCTTGCCAGCTCATGGCAATGCCTTACCTGGCAGAGGGAAGCCGCTCGCGGCGCCCAAAAGTAGGGCTAAATGTGGGGAACTGGAAGGAAGAGGGAGCAGTCACTCCTCAGGATAAAAGGTGAGCTGTGCTGCCTGCCTCTTGACTCCCTCGCTAAATGCCGTCAGGAGCAATCAGTAAATGTGATCATCATTGTGAAAGTATATATAGAGAGATGACTAAACAGCTTCTCCCTCAGTGCTGCCGAGACGGAGTCTCTCTCTCTCCTGAGCTCGCTGCATTCTGCCCCCTCCCCTCCCAGGACCACTCGGAGCTTTGCTCTGGCTGCCCAGCCCAGCTGGACTCATCCCCCGGGTCCTGAGGAGCCCACTGGCCTGGGGGCAGGGGGGGCTGACCCCACACTGGCCCCAGGGAGGCAGACTGGGAGGTGGGAGCTAACAGAGACTCTGGCAAATGGAGTCATTAAATACACAGCAGAGCCAACCCCGCATGCTAATGTGCCAGCTGTGGCAAGGGGGGGGATGAAGGGGGGAAAAAGTATGGGATGAACTTCACTGGTCCCTCCCGGAGCTCCCTCTGTGTCCCTGACTCCCAGGCAGGCGGGGAGCGTGCAGGAGAGGTCCCTTCTCCTGGATGATAAAATGAGCGATTCCTCCAGCATCACAAACCTACAACCATCACCTCAGCCAGGGCAGGAGGCTACATTCAGTAATAAAAATAATTCATTCAGATTTAAACCAATCTTTCCCTCTCTCCTTCTCCCCAATCCCCCTCATCCCACTGCTCCTTGGCAGCTCTCACCATCCTGTCTCCCCCTCAGCATCCCTCTCTCACCCACCGTCAGAAGTTGGGCTCCACACGCTCAGAGACCTGGCATCCTGGCTCCTTTATCTGTTTGCCGGCGAATCTCCATTAACTAAATAATTAGAAGCCCCAAATCAGAGCGAACCGGTCTTGCCCTGCTCTGTCCGGCCGCTCCCGGCGGGGACCGATGAGCCGCAGCGATAGTTGGGGACTTTATCCAGAAAGTGGGAGGAATAGGGCGGCGGAGGAGGAGAGGAGCTGGGCTGCCTCGCCATGGCCCCGCGTCCCCGCACGGCTCGGGACCGCACTCCGGGATCGCCGGGAGTCCGGGGGCTGGAAGGGGCTGCGGGGCCGCCGGGCGGGGAGGAGCGGGGGGCGAGGATGAGGATGGCGCGGGGGTGGGAGCCGACCGGAGGGGGTACCGCTCCTGCCCCCCTTCGCCCCCTCCCCGCCCGCAGGTGAGACCGCTGCTGGCGTGTCCCTTCCAGCACCGGTGTGTGTCCCCCCCGCAACCCCCGCC